ACAAAAACACATCAGAAAATTAAATCTCTTCAAATCTCAAAATTAAAAGAGTACAAAATTATACATTAGCTATTATAGTATATTACATGTCATTACAAAATAAATCGATATAAAATATGCATTTTATAAGTTTATGAAGACAAAATCATTTGTCCAGTGAAAGTGTTCTTTAATTAATTATGTCAGTATATAAACTATAATAATTAGAGTAATGATAAACCGTAAAAAATAAGAATAATTCTTCTATAAACTTTCAACTCTCGTCCACATCACGCTTATCACGCTTCTCCTCCCTTTCCACCTGTATACTATAATTCCAATGATTTCTCCGTATAACCGCGTGCATTTATTCCGCTTTCGTTCCCAACCGAGATTTCGGTCCATCCGAATGCATTAGCGTGCAGCTTTGGGGATTCGAAGCCCAATTCCCCGTTTGCTTTCCGCGCGAAACAGACAGAAAGAAGAGCGGAACAGACGGAAACGAGAGCGAAAGAAATAGCGAGGGGCGACCTAGCCAGCCAGTACTCTTTATGCATGCACCTGCACACATCGATGAAAGTTAACGCATAATGCAGACTCCACCATTCGCCTCTAATAGGATAATGCTGTTGTACATATGTATACCCGAGCGCGATCGTTTGTTTGCTTAACGAATTTGAAATATCTTTGTGGATTTTTTACGCACCGCTGGTCTTTTGCAGCGTCTCGTTGGCGGGGTGGCATTTATGCGTAAATCTTGATAATTATGGTACGCACTGAGTTGTAGTCACACACGTACACCGCAAAATTTCAGTGAAATCGAAATCTATCGATTGATATAATGAAAACATGCACAGTAAACATATATGTAGCATATTGCACTTATATTATATTTGTAATATATATCGTATAATTGAATTTTTATGGCCTCTATTCTTTCGAAAATTTATTGAGATTGTATTTAGAATAATAATTTAAATTGCTGAAATACTAAACGATCAATTAATATTAATATATAAAGAAAAATATTTTTTTTAGAAATCTTATTATGATAAAAATTATTATATTACCGTAAAATGAATACAACTTTATCGAATCAAAAACAATAAAATTAAAATTAATTTTATTAGCTATCTTTATTTGGAACTAATAACATATATTTTCACTAACTTGCAAAATTGTAATGTTCTAAGTAATATTACTATCAAAACTGATTAAAGTAATTGTTATGCTATACGTATTCAAGCTACAATTCTGTTTGGAAGTTAATATCGCGTTATTGTAGACGTCAATTTTCGTAGGACATCGATGCTCGTATTAAAAGCCATAACCTGTTCGTGAATTTCATTTTCTCGATTAACGAGGAAAAGCATGAAAGCATTTTCTCGTTATAATCACGAACTCGTCGCACAGCGAACGCGTCGTCATTCAAATGAAAGACCGACTGAAATGTGAAATTTTCCGCGACAAAACAATGGTTCGAATAAATATTCGCTTATCATTTTTCCGTCTATCTAAATTCCGTCGTTTTGAAATAAACCCGAAAATCAATGGCATTATTTTAACAATTTCGGAAAGATTACAATACAATAATAACTTTTTCATAATTTGTTAATTTTACAATAAATTTTTAATCTATAAGATATATAATTATATTTACGAATAAATTTAAATTCATTTTAAAAACTTTCGGATTTATATATATTCAATCGATTTTTCTCTAATAAAAGAAATCATGAAACAGAAGCGATCAAAAATACTTTCAAGAGAGAATCAAGCTGTAGAAATATTTAATGATACAAATTAAAAATTTATGGAAAATAATAAATGTTTCCTATAATATTTTTGTTAATAAGAGGAAAAATTAATTCTAAATTAGTCAAAGAATTAAATAAGAATTAAAAGACAGCTCTAAACTTCTATATATATTTTATATAATTATAAAGAAAATAATTTCTCCTTCCATAAATAGAACAATAAAAGCTCTCACATTAAGCTTGTTATAAGTAAACTTTAGAACAAATAAGACGCTATGTGTATAAATAACTACAACGTAAATAGTGTTAAAATGGACTTAAATGAAGTAATAAAATTAATGAGTAGAGAGAGAAAGGTTAACAGGTGGAAACTTATTTCACACACAACACGGTTAATTTACAAATTTCTTGAACTACATAAATTTATAACTTTTCTTCTTGAAGGAAATAGCATTTTTGTCAAAACTTCACAGTGCAAAATGTGATTGCCTATGAGCATCTGCTCCATCGTAAACATTGTAAATCGATTGACCCTTCGAAGTAAAAAACGGACGGCAGGTTCGCTGGTTACGCTTCATTGGGGTCGCCACCCGGTACGTTCTGCGACCTAAGTCAAATCATTTACCCGTATATGTATGCTGCCCACGTATATACAACATACGCGTGTATACGCACGTACACACATACATCTTTGGCACCCACGTTACAGTCACGAGGCGTAATCCACCTCCCGCATGATGTGACATAGCGCGAAGCGTGCTGGCGGGCCCTCCTCGGTGGCCCTCTCGCACAGTCGCGGAAAAATCAATAGTGAACGTAGTGTGGTGCGGCGTGGCGGCGTCACTCTTTCAGGTGGCCGCCTGCCTATGCTTGTGCTCGTACCTGTGCCTGTATGAGGAAGGAAGCCAGCCTGGCAGACGAGAGGGCAGGCGGGCGTGCAGGCAAGCGAGCGAGCGAGCAAGCAAGCGAGCAAGCAACCGTCCGATCGAGCGCACCGGTGAAAACGAGTCACCTGCGAGGCATACACTCCGTCGTGGCAAGCACGCGATCGAATTCCCGCCTTCCACACCACGAGACGCGTATATGCATGTGCGTGTATTTATATTCATATGTGTATATATATATATATATATATATATAT